TCAGTTTTATATATGCCCCTTGTTTGTAAGACCACTTAATGAATTTTATTTCACATTTTTATTACCTCTAAGATATATGTGTTTGTGCAAAGGATCTGTGTTATGTGTGTGCGTTCAGTATATTATCGCCCACAATAGGAAAATCAATAACCAAAACCATTCAATATTTAGGTTATCTTCTAATAATTATCCATGTAAAAAAATTCAGCTAAACCAGAATTTATTTAGTCATTTGATTATCCACATTTTCATTTCAATTTTATCTAACAAACTGCCTCCTCTATTGAGTTTTTTCTTTAAGAGAGAGAAAGAGACTAGGGTTTTAGTCGTCTAGTTAAGGTCGAGATTGTGATACTAACTTTTTTTTTTTTTTAATCGCGGGCTTTAAAAATCTAAATTACCTTTGGTTTTAGCGGTTAGGATGACCCCTCCCTATCATAATTGTTTTTCTTTAGTCTTTACTCCTTGTGATGATGCAGGACCATGAGACCACTCCAAAATCACCCCCAAAATCATATTTACCTCTACATGATCGTGAAAAGGACAGCCCTCTAAAGTCATTTTCAAATAATCACCATCAGCTACAACAACTTTATTCGTATGGACCCATTTTTTTTCAATGTGCTTTCAAATCCATGCCATAGTTTATTTTGGAAATAGAAAACCAAACAAATAAGCAAAATTATAAAATTATAAAAAAATACAGAAAAATGAAAATAAAACGAAGGTAAAAAGAAAATTCTGGTATGGCGTTTGTGGATTGGACAAAAGGAGTTTAGTTTGTTGAGGGTTGCTATTAGTATTATCCGAGCACATGTGAGGGCTGCCCCCACCCAACTTGTCGCTGAGCTTTGGACATCACATGGGACTGGATTTAAGACCAATCCAGAGGCCCAAAATAATCCAAAACTGACAAATTGTTAGTTTATTATTGGTCATCCAAACAGTCCTTTATACGATTTCGGTGCACGTGATGATTTCATATGGGTCCATGAATAAGCAAGCTGCTTGCTTTGTTTATTAATCTTCCTACTTTATTCTATTTCTTTTGTGTGTTCCATGTTGTAGTTCATGTGGGATTCTATACCCTTTTCTTGTAACTTCAATTCCTGCTCATAAGTTTGAGGCTTAAAATGTGGATCAAGAGTTGCTTCCTTTGTTGTTTTGCTTAACTTTTTTGGAAATAAACCAACCATCAATGCATCTATAAAGTAGTTATTGATCTAATATATAGTATTTTTCTCCGCTCTATTCGGATTCGGAAGACGTCTCAAACTGGAATTCCTCTTATAATCACGTGCACCAAATTCGCGGTAAACTCTACTAACAGCCTAACAGCTCAATTAAAGTTCATATACAGCTTACAAAGCAATAGATGCCCAGGGCTAATTGCCGCCACTAAGTTTCCCAAAATGAAGTTATGATGCACTTTTTCATCCCAAATTGAAGTTGCAACAAATTTTGGATGAAATAGGAGAAGAAAAGTAGAGGGCAAGATGTTTGGTGAGTATATATATATGGTGTTAGTAGACATTTTAAGGGCTCGGTATAGTTATATTGATTTAAGCATGATTAGACTACACTTTTTTTTTTTTTTTTTCTATCAATGGGTAATGGAGATGTGAACTTGGAATCTATTTCCATTCTTGAAAAGAGAAATACCACTAGACTGAGAGTTAGTTGGTAAACTAAACTATACTTAATTCTCTTAAATTGCACTAAACTTGTGCAAAACTTAGGCATGAATCCAACAAACTAAATTATACTAAAGTTTTGTTAAATATCCCTAAATAATACAACATAGTCCAATCCAATATGGCCAAATACGAGTATGAAGTAGTTAGAGCATCCACAATCATGCTATTTATTTTTTAGTTAAAATTTAGCTAAAAATACTATAAAGCTATTTTAGGAGATTCTTATAAAATTTCAACTCCAACCATGCTTTCTAGTTTAGGGAATCATAAATTATTATTATTATTTTTTTTTAATTTAGCATAAATGCTCCATCTTCATTATAAAAATAAAATAAAAGTTAGCATTAAATAAATATTTAAAATAGCATTAAAATAAAGCATCATTTAATTATAAGGAGTCACTAGGAGCTCTTTATCTCTCCTCAAATTTAGGAGCTCCTAGAGGTCTCCCTATCCAACTCCTAAGAGTATCCACAATCATACTCTCTATTTTTTAGTTAAAATTTAGCTAAAAATACTAGAAAGCTATTTTAAGAGTTCTCTATAAAATTTCAACTCCAACCATACTCCATAGTTTAAAAAGTCATAAATGTTTTTAATAAATTTTAATTCAATTTTTGAATAAAGTGTAGACACAAAAGCAATAATAAAAAATAGTTTGCATTAAATAAATGCTTAAAATAATATTAAATATAGAAGCATTTAATTAGAGATTTTCTATTTAAACCTCGCACTTCTCTTTGTTCATCCCAATACTTAAATCATTAAGCTGTAAGTTTTATTATTGTGTAAAAAGATAAAAAAGGTCATCCAACTTAATAATTAACTCTAGTACATCTATACACACACCCCACCACTCTTCATATTAATTAAGTTTTAGAAAAATACAAACTACTCTACATCCTATTTAAATTGGATCAGGACAGAGGTAAAGTATAAATTGGATCAGATCAGGATAAACTGCTCTACTTGGAGAGAGGTAAAGTTATTCTCTTTCTCTAGAAAGTATTAAATTTCGGGTTTGGGGTTCCATTTGTTTGTGTTTTTTTTATGCTGGGAACAAAGAAAATTGTGGGGTTTAAATAGAAAGCCTCTTTTATTTCTTTTATTTTTATTTTTTCAATTTGGGGTGTATTTAAGGGTAGTTTGGGAAGATAGTGGGGTTTTCTTAGAAATTGTGAAAATTTAAATTAAAAGATGGGGTGAACTTAGAACATGGGGTGAATTAAGAGAAGTGCGGGGTTTAAATAGAAAATCTCTTTAATTATAGGGAGTCACTAAGAGTACTTTCTCTCTCCTCAGATTTAGGAGCTCCTAGAGGTCTCCCTATTTTAGGAGCTGGATAGGGGGCATGGTTGGAGGTGGGTTTTTTCAATTCCTCCCTAAATTTTAGCTAAGGAGGTGGTTTAGGGAGCCCATTGTGGATGCTCTAAGGTGGGTTTTCTCACTTCCTCCCTAAATTTTATCTAAGAAGGTGGTTTAGGGAGTCCATTGTAAATACTCGAAGAGAAGTTAAATTGTTATTAATAAGGGAAAATTTTAGGATAAATCCGAAAGTTATATTAATAGTTGGATCTAATCCTTTTAGGTCCTTTGACTATTGTTATATTGTCTAAGTCCTTGCATTAATTCCACGGATTGGAAGGTAAGTATATTATCTTTTAATAGGAGAATGAAGATTTGAACTTAGAACCCATTTTAACATTAAAAAGAGAAATAACACTAAATTAAGAGCTAATTACTTTTAAATTTATCTTTGCAAAATAATGAAGAATTGTACGTGTTTCGATAATGTCAATGGTAGAAGATGAGGGAAATTATTGTGTAAGACGGAAGAATTTGGTTTTTCGGTTTAGGATAGAGTTATCTTTTATTACTTGTCAACCGACCAAAACTAACTTCTCTTGAAAACAGTACGGATAAAGCATGTTATGGATATGGATTTAGACGACATTTGCCATTGAGGAGGACAGGATGCTTTGCTTCTATGAAAATACGAAGTAAAAAATCATGAAAGTAAAAGAAGAAGAAGTGAAAGAAACATGAGAAAAAGTAGAAAAAGAAAACGCGTCTCATCGCTTTAGATTTACCAAGTTGATGCCGGTTGTCTGATAAAGAAACCCAGAAAAAAGAAAGTAGAATTATGGGAGATTAGAATTTCAAAGCACTATAATTATTAAAATGGATTCAAATGCGATGGCATTCATTGATGTTTGTGATTTTTTGTTACATCCCATCCCACCAAATCCCACAATGTGACATGGGTGAGGGTGAAAATGACTCACTCATTTTATTTTATTTTTTTCAGCTACACAAGGGGACAAGGGTTAAATCCGTTATTGTCCATCAATGTGACAAAACTGAAAAAGGGTGTGGACTTTTTGACGCTTTGATGAAAAACACCAAAATCACCCTAATAATCTCTCAACTTTTTGGTTCTTTTATAACTTTTTGGATTCGATGGATCAGGGATAATGATCACGTCACTGAAATTTGGTTCTTTTCTTTTTGGTAAATAGCATTGAGGTGGGATTCTTCTAGCTTGTAGCAATGAGGGCTTTAGAGATGATGGGAGGCTGAAATTCTTCTTACATGGTTGCCCTAGCCCTCTCACAGCACAGGTTGTAAGAGGGATTTGTTGAGGGGTACAACCTTGTCCTCCAATAATAACACCGCCATGTGATCGGATGACTATTAAGGATCCTTTCATTATAACCCCTCAATACAATCTGTTGAGAATCTTTTGTTGGGAGGGAGTTGAGATGGACTAAAGAATTGTACTTGTAAAATTTTGTTCAAGCGGACTGAGCTAAGCTACTTTTAAATTTTTCCATATCCGTACTCTTCTTAATCCATGTAATGTAAATGCATGTTTAGAAGAGTAATTAGTTGCAAGGGGTTTGTAGCAAGTAGTCAAGAGAGCATTTACCCTTACACCCGAGGTCATGTATTCCAGGACTTAAAAAAAGAGTAATCAATTGGTAGCTTCAAATTTTAAGGAAATATAACAACTTCAGATATTGGCACCCAGTGGGTGGTGACCATGGCACCCAGGCTATAATGAGGAGTTTAGAGTGAGGAGTTTATTTGAGGGGTTCAATTCCGCCATCAACAAATGTGAGAAAATCAATGGACTTAAACATTTAAATAGTTTGATGGTTGGATTGAACCCCTCAAATAAGCTCCTCACTCTAAACTCCTCATTGTAGAAGCTCCCCCCCAAATTAAGACTGAAGCCCAAAACTTGTTCAATCTTGATATCAAAAATTAAAAAAGAAAGAAGAAGGAAAAAAAAAAGGCCTAAATTGCTGAGAATACACAAGAGCAGCCCTGCATGAAACTCCTGGCTCTTCGGGGTTTTTTTAGCAATCATGGTTGATGACAAACTGAATTTCTTATCAATGACATTTCCAAAATGTATACAAAGTTGGGAGCTAAAAATCAAGAGTCCCACTTTTAGAGGACACAGAACAACTACCGGTAGTGCCATATGAACTCCCGCTTCAGCCATCAATAGGGGCTTGGTTTAGACATTCTAAAACCATAAACCTCCGCTTTTTCAACTTTATTGACAAGGTTGTTGCCTCAAGAATCACAGGAACCTGCTGACACGTTAGAAATTATAAATAACAATCGAGCCGAATTACATAATGAAGAAGCAGATCAGCAGGGAAAGAAATCAATTGAGAACAATGGTCGTACCTGTGTATTAAGACGTGCTACTTTCTGCACATTCAGAAGGCCAAACATGCCCTGGTAACCAGTAAGGAGTTTTTCCAATTCCTTGTCCTCGTCTGAATGAATGATCCAGATTAAAAATATCAATAAGTAAAGAAAGATTCATATAGATTATGGTTGATAAAATATTTGGCAGAGCAAAAGCAAATGTGAAAGCTGATATTGACCTGGAACAGCAAGGTGTCCGCCATGTGCTGCTGCCATCTTTTACAGGAGGATGGTGAAAGAAGATTAGGTGGAGATGTCACAACAGCAACTGCATTTGAAGATCTAACCATGCCTTTTAGAGATCTAACAAAGGAAAGCATGTCCGATTCCTGCAATGCGATAATACTATGCTCAACTTACAGAATTAAAACTAAATGAAACTAGCAAAAAAAACTGGCGGCAATCTCGTATGAGTTTTTAAGATCATAGAGGTTATAACTTATAAACATAGTTGTTAGATAAATAAAAAGGAGTGTGATAATTTCATTTCCTTGCATTAGCTGCAAAAATGAGTCAAACAAAAAGATAAAACATTTCCAATTTAATCTCTCCAAATCAGTTTAACTAATTCCACAGAACTATTTGTGATAGAAGATTACTATCAAGGTATGGTATCCCAGATGAAATAAACGTTGTGCCATTAGGGCCATGCTTGAGTCCGGGGATTTGAGATGAGTTTGCAGATGCAAAGTTGCGGGAGAAGCTACTTGTCTGAGTCTTGGTCACAGACATGGCTGCAGAATCACTCTCAATCAGAGCATCCAAATAACAGGGTAAGTTTTGTTCATTGGCTTCTTCTTCGCCTTCTTCTTCCTTTCTTTGTTCTTTGATTTCTCCTATTTGTTTTACCAAGATTTTCTTCTGTTTGTTTTTCCTAATTTTGTTGTCGATAGATTCTATTCTATCATTATGCTGTAATTTAAGGTATCCAAATGCTTCCATTTTATGTGCCATAGTGTTGCCCTTGAAATTTCCTCAGACGCTAGATTGGTTTCAATATTTAATTCCAACTTGTTTTTGTTAGCGAGATATCCTAGCCTTATTAGGATATTTCCTTCTTATTGTATTAGGATTTTATTTATTTCCTTTTGTATAGATATTATGTAATTAGGATTCCTTTTATTTTCCTAGTTTAACCCTACTAGGGTTTGTAACCTTGTACTATAAAAACCTACTTTCGAAGAATGAAATATATCTAAAAATATTCTACCATATTGTTTGACTTGGCTTCAGAGACGACTTTCTGGTGACCTGTGTCTGTTGTGCCCACCCATGTTCTACTGTGTGCCCTAATTTCTTTTAAGGTTCTTGTGCCTGTACCTTTGCCATGTTCCGTTGTGTGCTCTGTCGTGTTCGTGCCTCTACTGTCTTCGTGCATTTGCCTCTATTGTGTTTGTGCCTTTACTCTTCGTGAATCTGCCTCTACTGTGTTCGTGCCTCTACTGTGCATTTACTGTCTTCGTGCATATACCGTATTTGTGTCTGTGCTGTGCTCTGTAGTATACTCTGCGTGATTTGTTGGGTTTCTGCTACAATCATGGGTGATAATTCCATTGTTGGTGCTGCTGCTGCTGCTTCTGCAAATTTGCGTGTTTCTGACTCTATTCCAGGTACTGGCTCCAATACTTGTATAATTGACACTGGTGCTTCTGATCATATGACTTATGATGCTAAATTTTTTGATGAGTTGTCTAGTAACACCCGTGACCCATACATAACTAGTGCTAATGGCTTGCCCTCTCCAATTACTGGCAAGGGCATCATTTCTCTCACTCCAACTTTATCCTTGTCTCATGCGTTATTAGTTCCCAATATCCATTGTAACTTGTTATCTGTTGGTCGCTTACTTGATACACTTAATGCTTCTGCTACTTTCTATCCTACCCATTGCTTTTTTCAGGATCTCAAGACTCATGAGATGATTGGGCAGGGTAAACGGATATGGGAGTTATATTATTTGACATTGCCTTCTGTACCAGTTCGTGATCGTGTCGTTAATACTGTTCAAAGTTGTACTGTCAAAGACAAACAACAAATTTGGTTATGGCATCGTCGCTTGGGACACCCGTCATTTAGCTACCTTAAGCGTCTGTTTCTATCTTTATTCCGCTCCTGTGATGGGTCAAGTTTTAAGTGTGAGACATGTATTTTGGCAAAGAGCCATCGCACTATGTTTCCTTTAAGTGATAGTAAAGCTGCAAAGCCTTTTGATTTAGTGCATTCTGATGTGTGGGGTCCGACTCGCGTTACTTCGAACGAATTTCGTTGGTTCGTCACATTTATTGATGATTGTACCCGACTTACTTGGGTTTTCTTGCTGAAAAATAAACATGATGTTGCTTCCATCCTTCCAGAGTTTTGTACTATGGTGTCTACTCAATTTCATGCTCGGGTCAAAGTATTCTGGACAGATAACGGAGGTGAATATGTGAATAATACTTTGGCGTCTTTCTTCCGTGCTCAAGGTATTATTCACCAAACGACAACCCATTTTACTCCTTAACAAAATGGTGTGTCTGAAAGAAAGAACCGACAATTGCTTGAAGTTGTCCGCTCACTCATGTTGGATATGTCTGTTCCCCATCACCTTTGGGGGCACGCTGTTCTGTCTGCTGCCTATTTGATTAATCGTACTCATAGCCGGGTTCTTGATTTCAAGAATCCGCATGATGTGTTTGGTGACCATGTTTCCCATGTCTCCGTTTCCAAGTTGCCCCCTAAAGTTTTTGGGTGTGTTGCTTATGTTCATGTCTACTCTCATCAACGGAGTAAACTTGATCTTTGTGCTCTGCGATGTGTCTTTATTGGTTATTCTTCTACTCAGAAGGGTTATAAGTGCTATCATCCACCTACCCAGAAGGTGCATGTTGCTTTGGATGTGACTTTCCATGAAGAAGTGTCTTATTATGTCTCTCCCTCCTCTCCAATTCAGGGGGAAAAAGGGAGTGAATTGAAGAGTTTCGGAGTGGAAAATATGGAAAATTTTGGACATGAAGAAGGAATTTACCACGAACAGGAAGCGACTGGTCGCAAACGAACCTACCTGGAAACGACTGGTCGCCCAGAGGTCAGCGATCGGTCGCCTACCTGTGATACAACTTGCCTGGAAACGACCGATCGCCTGCCTAGATGAGCGACGACGACAGCCCAACGACCGGTCGCCCAGAAGTCAGCAATCGGTCCCCAGGCGATTTTTTGGAGTTTTTTGACTCTTCCCCAGAAGAACGTGATAGTGATACTAGCAACTCTGATGTAGATGAGATTGACACAAGACCCCTCTCTACCCTGCCAGTGCCCCAATCTACTTGTGAGAATGAATCAAGTGAGGTAATTTCTAATGATCTGTTTGTGTCAACGTATCAGTTACCCTCACGAACCACTTGTGGGAAATCTAAAGTACAATATTCTCCTGATATACATGCCAAGTCTAAATATCTCATTAGCCATTATGTGTCAACTCATTGTTTGTCTAAGTCATATGCATCATATTTGTGTCAAATATCTAGTGTATGTGTGCCAACTAAGCTGCAAGATGCTTTATCTGATCCAAAATGGGTAGATGCAATGCATATTGAGATGGAAGCCTTGAACAAAAATACCACGTGGGAGTTAGTTCCTTTACCAAAGGGGAAAAAGGCAGTTGGGTACAGATGAGTGTTTACTTTGAAGCACAAGGCTGATGGGTCCATTGACCGTTACAAGGCAAGATTGGTGGCAAAATGGTATACTTAGACCTATGGAATGAATTACACAGAGACCTTTGCTCTAGTAACAAAGCTCAATACTGTGCGCGTACTCTTGTCTTTGGCTGCTAATCATGATTGACCGCTGTTACAATTTGATGTCAAAAATGCATTCCTCCATGGTGACCTTAAGGAGGAGATTTACATGGCTCTCCCTCCTGGTATTCCTGTGACCTCTAAAGAGGGTGTTGTGTGTAAGCTGCGGAAGTCTTTATATGGATTGAAGCAGTCTCCAAGAGCGTGGTTTGGGAGATTTGCAGCATCTATGAAGAAGTTTGGGTATGTGCAGAGTAACTCAGATCATACTTTGTTTCTAAAGCGTCATAAAAGTAAATTGACAGCTTTAATTATTTATGTTGATGATATGATTGTGACTGGAGATGATCAGGCAGAAATGCAAAATCTCCAGAAATATCTGGAGTCTGAGTTTGAGATGAAATCATTAGGTAACTTGAAGTACTTTCTTGGGATTGAAGTTGCTAGATCTAAACATGGTATCTTTTTGTTCCAAAGGAAGTATGTGTTGGATTTACTTGTAGAAACTGGAATGTTGGATTGTAAACCAATTGATACTCCTAGTGAACAGAATCACAAGTTGGGGTTATATCCTGATCAAGTTCCTACTGATAAGGAGCGCTATCAACGGTTTGTGAGGAAATTAATTTATTTAGCTTATACACGTCCTGACATTGCGTATGCGGTGAGTGTAGTGAGTCAGTTTATGCACTCGCCTAGTGAAGACCATATGAAAGCTGTGACACGTATTTTGAGATATCTCAAAGTAACTCCTAGTAAAGGGTTAATGTTTTCCAAGTATGGTCATACAGAAGTGGAAGGGTGCACAGATGCTGATTGGGCAGGTTCAACTACTGATAGGCATTCAACGTCTGGGTATTTTATGTTTGTTGGTGGCAATCTTGTTACCTGGAGAAGCAAGAAATAAAAGGTGGTGTCTCGATCTAGTGTTGAGGCTAAGTATCGTGGGATGGCCCATGGCGTATGTGAGTTACTGTAGTTGAGGAGATTATTGAGAGACCTCAGTTTTGGGCTTAAGAAACTCATGGATTTATATTGCGACAATAAGGCTGCGATTGCAATTGCTCATAACCCTGTACAACATGATCGTACAAAGCATGTGGAGGTTGATCAAAATTTCATTAAAGAAAAGTTGGATGTGGAGATTGTTTCCTTCCCGTTCATCAGTTCTGAGTATCAGTTAGCCGATGTTCTTACGAAAGCTGTTTCTACAAGTATTTTTCTCAACTCGCTTGACAAGTTGGGCATGCGTGACGTCTTTGCTCCAACTTGAGGGGGAGTGTTAGCGAGATATCCTAGCCCTTTTAGGATATTTCCTTCTTATTATATTAGGATTTTATTTATTTCCTTTTGTATAGATTTTATGTAATTATGATTCCTTTTATTTTCCTAGTTTAACCCTACTAGGGTTTGTAACCTTGTATTATAAATACCTACTTTCGAAGAATGAAATATATTTGAAAATATTCTACCATATTGTTTGACCGTTTTCTCTGATTTTGGTTCAATTTGCGATGGATTTGGGGTTCAATTTTGACTCAGTTAGGGTTTCTCTCTCAGATAAAGGGTTAGGGTATCCATGTGTATTCAAATTTGTTCCGTTGGGTTTCCACGTGAATGAAATCGTAATGCCTGAGTTGTTAAAGGTAAAAGCTGCAGCGTTCTGGTTGAAAATGGTACCCATTGGGTTTTTGGTACCCATCTGGTGTAGGAAATTAGGGAGCTTCTATTTTTATTTTTATTTTTCCAAAATAAGGGAGCTTTCAATAATAAGGGGATTATATTGGAAGGGTGTATTGAGGAGTTTAATTAGCTCACCAATAATATCATTTTCATCCATCGGATCAAAGTAAAAAATCTATTTTATAGGGATCATAACTTAAAGAAGGCACTTAATTGTGCCATCTATGATGCACAACAAGAGGG